CATACTGTGCTTTCTCAACAAATAAAGTCTCTGCATGGTACTGGAAATGGGTAAATTCAGCGTGTATAGGTATAACGACTGATTCGTTTCATTGAATTTGGACCAACGGTATTTCCCCCATTCAACTGCTTCCTTTCCAGCCCCAGTCTTCTTCAATGTCAATTTGCTTAAATCCTTGTCCCCTCCTCTTTTGGTTTCCACTCACATTAAAATGTAAAGAAGAACATCACATGCTGGCCCACATACATGTTCCAGAGCAATCCCAGTAGCCAGTGTGGTTTATATGGATAAGTGCAAACTCAGCTGAGCAAGATTTTAGTCACGTTTCATGACCTGTCCCACTCTGTAGGAGAACAGACTCATTACATGTGTAGCCTATTCATATAATGTGCTGGTGAGATGACAAGCTAGTTCTATCAATATTCTTTTCCAAAATGAGTGAATACAATTTATTGAAAGTTGAAAGAAGCGTCCAAAAATTGAAAATGGGTTTAATTCTCTTGGTTAGAAACAAGGATAATGATGGCGAAAACTCAAATTGAACCAAACTAACTGACACAGTCCTCTTAATCAGCTTTGAACGGGGCTTAGTCCCAGGCCAATACCTAAGCAGAAAAATCCAGGCTCGTTGAAATTGACATGTGAGACCGAGGCACCACCTAGTGGGCAAAATGGGAAATGACGACCTTTGCATAGGCTCTCGTTTTTAAACCTAACAGACAAAATGTTTTCTTGGATGGCCAGTCTCTCAGTGTCTGGTGAATTTACGAATCCCCCTTTTCAATTTATGCCTAAAAATTAATTGCAGGCTTATAAAGAAAGAACAAATAACAACTTCTTTTATTATCTCCCAAACCTGTTCACACAAACACTTGGGGCCTCTACGTACATAGAGACGTGTGGCTTGTACACCATCTGTGTGTGATGCTATTTGCCAAGTATCCTCTTACAGCAACCAGCCTCGCCGCGACCAGAGAGTCTGGCCATCTATACCTTCTCTAGACTTTGATCCCTCTCTGGGAAGGTGGTGAGGTCACAATTCTATTTTGTGACAGAGCATATGGAGAAACAATATGGCAAAGAGGCTAAGAGCATGGACTTCTAACTGGCAAACCTGGATTTGAATCCCAGCCCCTACTTTCTAGCTTTTTAGAACATGGTCCAGGTACTTCAATTTCTACATCTCAGTTTCTTTCTCTGCTATAAATGGAAATAATGATAATATCTACTTGAAAGGCTACTATAAAAATCAAACAAGAGACTATAAATAACCCAGCAATACACCTAAAATTAGGAAATATTCAATAAATACTTCTTGTAAGTGTTGTTATTGTATTTATTAGACTTATTCTCAATCATTTCTACCCAAGTTTCAATGATGCAGAAGAACATTCATAAAAAGGAATTTCATTAAGGTAGACAGACCTTCCTTTTTTGGATTGCATAGTTCTTCCAAGCAGTCAAAACCAGTCCTTTGGATTCTGCTATCAATCTAGGAATCAGTTATGTTCTTGTGGGTACTGGACACCATCACCTAAACTCTTGCAATAACATCATATGTGATGTGTAGACGTGACTGGAAACCCTGACTCGTTTGCTTATTTTTATACTATTGTCCTCTCTTTCTATGTGTACAAAATGCACTTATAGAAAGGATAATAATATTCCAAGTCACCATGCCCAAACCCACAGCCAATGTGCTTCCTACCTAACTTTTATTTTCCCTAATCAGATTTTGAGACTACCTTGAGTTAATCAAGAAATCTACAACAATACAGGCAAAAAATGAAATTAGCTAAATGAAATTTTGAAAGCCTATTTTTGAATTTTACGTATTGTCTAATACTCATAATGGTTTTGTTTTATTTTTTAATGCGTGTACACATCAGAACCAGTAAGGAATCTGTATATTTAACTGAAGGAAGAAAGATTCACCCTCCATGTTCCTCAAAAGAAAAGGTGACAACACAGGAATATCTTGTAGTTCCATAGTGTGTGTTGGTTTATATCGTTCTCCTGCATTTAACCTCCAGGCAGAAGGAAGTGGACCGACCACAGGCATTTGTAACAAAGAGACAGATGGTTGAACTGGTCACCTGTCTGCAGAAATCATTCAAGGAGGGGAAAATACAGCAACAAATAATTCTTTATATAAATATATATAATTCTTTATATATATATAATTCTTTATATATATATATATACATATATATAACCCCAAATCACCCTTTCTGTTGTTGATAGGATAAATTTCAATCACAGCAGCTAAAGGTGTGAGAAAGGACAGCATTTTTACTACTGACCTCACTGAGATGGATGATATGAAATACTCCCATTTGATCATGATGGATGATCCTTGCTTGGTACTCTGGAAAATGAGCAGCCTCTCCCTCAAAGCATCCCCCTATAGACTTCCTGAGAAATAGGAGGGCTCTCTCCTGTCCAAATCTGACAACTGGATTTAATCGTGCACGGAAGTAAGGAATCCCTGGGGTTTATCATCCCTTTGACTCCAAACCACTTAGGTACCAGGGGCAAATGATTTCAGCTTTGTCCCTGGACTTTTAGTAAAGACAACCAAGAAGATGAATCTCTAGTTTTCAAATAATCCTCTGGCAACAGTTTCAATCCATATCTGCATGCCAGATTGCCATTTCTTTTTTCTGGAGTCTATTTCTCTGCTCACATGGTTCTCAAAACCAGTATCACTAAGAATGCTTTAATACAGTCCCAGGTATTGATGATCTTTCCCTGGATCTTGTGAAAATATGAACCCGTACTTGAAGCCTTCATATTTATTAAGTATTCAAACGTATATAGAGAAGAGTGTTTTCCCAGGAATTATCTGGAAAGACTAATGAAGAAACACAGGAGACCTACCCAGGACAGGAAATTCTAACGGTTAGCTCCTCACATCTCTTTCAACCAAACGGCATCACTCATACCCTCGAAGTTGAAGAGCAATAGGAGAATTTTCAGATTCAATACAGTCATCTGAATGTAACCCCCAGGAGTTTCCTTCTGTACACCTTTTTTTGTGGGGGGGAGATGCTCATGGTAATTATGAAAATAATGAAAAATTATTCAAACAAAATGTATAATTCTTAAGTTGGGAAGGAGATGTGTGTATTCATTTTATTGTTATTTTCATATTTTTACACATGATAAATATCATTTGTATGTGTTCAATACAGACATTAAAATAAAGAAACAAGAAAATAAATTAGTCTTCAGCAAATGTGGCAAAATGCCAACAATTGTTAATAACGGTGGTAGGTAAAAGGGTAGTTAATGTTTTCTTTATTTTCTGCATGCTTGGATTATTTCATATTTTCAAAATTAAACTTTTCATCACACACTGCTAACTCTCATTTTAAATTGGTTTCCGATGAAAAAGTTAAACAGGGCTGAATTAGGAATGAATTTTCTAATCTCTCAAAGGGAGATCGTTTATCTTGAGCTCCCAAACACTAAGCAGCCCTTTCTTGGGCGCACAACTGAACAATTTACAAAGCAGTGGTAGGCTGTATTTCCCAAATGGTAAAACAAAATGACAGAGACTCTAAGTTACCTTGGACTGTCCTGCTTTAGCCACTTGACAGAGCCTAAACCTTCTAAGCCACGGAACCAGAAAATCATAGGATTAAGACCTAGGCAAATAGTAGCCAACCTTGCACCTATCTTCTTGGGGGTGGTATATAATGATGATTTATAACTTTCTCCCACTTAATCCTCTCGTCACCACTTTTTTTTTTTGTTTTTTGTTGTTTTCTGTTGTTCTTAAAAAAAAAAAAAACCCTCAGGACTTCTTTTTGAGAGACAATTCATGCCATGTAACATGGCTGAATTTTACCCAGCATCACGGCACATTGAGGATGCTCTTCAATAGTAACAGCTGACAGAAAAGACAACTAGAATCAACTGGGAACAATAAATGAAGCAACGATGTAGTGAGGAAATGGGGAGCTTTGTGTTTTAGTGTGCAAGGTCTAAACAAAATCACTCGGATCAGGTACAGGTCTGTGTATTACGGACGCTTTGATAGTTCTCATACCAGATTGTACATGCAAATGAAAACCTAAAAGATTTCATAAACCTTATGCCTTATCTGAATGAACTTTTTTGACCTTCTGTAAAGTTTAAAAAAAAAAAAGTATCAAGAGATGATTTGGTAGCAGGGAAGCTTACCTACACACTATAAATATTCACAATGCATCCTTTTAAAAATGAAAAATTGCACACATTTCAAAACGAGGCAGGAAATAATAGTTTTGAGTGCCTTGGACATTTCAATTTAGAAGGAGGAAGTCTGAGGATTCTGAGAAGAGGACAAGGAAGGGCCTCTGGTACTTCTATCAGCTAGAAGCCTGGAGGCTGGACACAGTAGCAGAACTGTGCGGACGGAAATTTTGCCTGCCTAAGGGAAAGACTGAACTTGGAATGCACTTGTTCTTAGCCATACACAAGAATATTAACATTATAATTTAATCAGAGAAGCTATCACAGTCCATTGCACTGGAAATCGTACAATAATTATGATCTTATATTTTTTTAAACCAATGTATGTCTGGAACACTACACACCGTTTGAGCAACAGTGCCAGAGAAGGAGTATTTAATGTGAGACATTTTTAATGATTAAAAAAAAAAAATCAAAACCAAAATTAAGGCTAAAAGGAACAGTAATCAAGGCTTTAAAGTTGCAAACAGAGTAGATTTCTTAAAATCTGCCACTTCATCAACGTCTTGGATATTATAATTGATCGTCCGTGCTTCCTTGTAGCTTATAATCTAATTTTCTTTCAAGTCAAGGATAACACTAAAATTCTCATTGCTAGCACTCTTCTTCTTCTATTATGTTAATCGGTCATGCCAATGTAGTGTGGATCATAAACCTAGTCACTTCTGAGTTTTAAAAGACCAGAATAGACACCGAGACACACACGCAGGGGAAAGGGGAAGACAGAGGAGGGAGGCAGAGGCATCTATAAGCCTAGGAACTCCCAGGATTGCTGGCAGCTACTAGAGGCTGAAAGAGACAAAGAAGTACTTCCTCCTAGAGCCATGTCCTGAATTCAGACTTCTAACCTCTTGGACTTTGAGAAAACAAATTTCCGTTCTCTAACGCTACCCATTTGCGGTATTTCTGTTAGGGAGGCACGAGGTAACTAAGACATGTTGTATCCGGGTTTTCTTTAAGGCACAGATGTTGGAGGTATAGAAAGGAGTTTATTCACGTGAGGAAAACCTAGCAGGCAAACGATGTCCCCATGTGATGGCAATTACTTGATCATTTGTGGTCTGCTACCTACTTGGCATCAAATATTTGTCATCAGAAATAAACATTATTTATGTAAACACACATCTACTGTACAAAGGCCCACAACTGAATAAATCACACTTCCCTCTGAATAATAAACTGATTACAAAGAGAAAAATCATTCCCATGTGAAGCCACTTTAAAATGAATTTAAATCTTTGTTAAGTAAATACTCTAACCAAATTCTCATGAAGAAATAGAGTCTGGAAATTCAAATTTTCCGCACAATTGTTCTCAGAGGTGTCAGTTCTTAAGATGGCTGAAATTTCTCTTTCAGATTCCCCTTGCCACCAATCTTCTCCCCACGTGTTAGCAACCACATTCACCACATTTCCTTCTCACAAACACTATTCGCTTCATAGGTTCCAAAGAACTGACAGCATTCTGCTCCTTGGAACTGATTATTGAAATCGCCACGATTAAGATTTTGGTCTAATCCCCCAGTGTTTGGCAGCTCAGCCCATTATGGGGGACTCCTGGGTAATGGGTATGTAATAATGCTACTGAGACAAGGCTTCTTGTTCAGTTAAACTCCACTGGATATCAATATGCAGCCATCTTCCAATGGCAGGCAATAATTAGCACATTAGGCAGCTCAGATAATAAACCAGGAACTCCATGGTTCCTTGTTTTTCTCTGTGAAAAGTTCTGCTGTGAATAAGGAACAAGAGGTTGGCTATGCGTCTTCCATGACCTGGCTTCATGTTCAAAGTTAAAAAGATCAGCAACAAAGGCAGCCCAGATGGCCTTAGAGCTTCAGGCTGAAGGAGTTTAGAGTTGGAGAGAGGTGGCTGTGAAATTATCTACTGTAAATAGCCCACTGTGAAAGCTAAATTCGGTTATATCTTACTGCTATAAATGAGTGGATTTAAAAATGAATTAATATCTACAAATTTGAGACTATATATTGAGCTTTCCAGTAATAATGGAAGCTGCAAAGATTGTAGTTTTATTTCCTTGTCTTAAAAATAGCAAGAACTAAAGATTCACTTGTCAGTAATTCTGGTCTATTCCAAGCAAGAACCACAAATAAAGCAAGAGATTACTGAAGATACCAAAATCCCTCAGCATGCTCCTGGGAGCCTGTGGAAGCAGTGCCTTAAAAGGATATGGATATTAACAGGAAAGGAGGTCCTCAGAAACCTATTTAGGATTTTTGTTGAATTATACAGCCCTATAATTCAGAATATATTTAAATGTATGAATTAGAATATGCATGAAATCAGTGCTATTTGAATAATCTAATCCCACACATAATTAAAATAGGGAATAGGGTAAATAGAAGGCAAAAGAAACAATAAATCTATTCAAAATTCTATTTGTTTAGTTATTGGTGACATTATTCTTTAATGAAGGTCTTACATTCCCAAGGTAAGCTGCTATCTGGGACCAGTCAAAACTCTTTCCTTAGTCTAATACTCCATTTTACCATAAATTATTTTTAACCCTGTTAACAAAACTAGGATTTCCACAAGGTACATATTTTGAGGTTACCTTGAGTTAATGTGAAAGGACACCTAGTCAGGAAGGAAAGGAATCAGGATTTGAACCTACATGGTTTTTACCCCCTGAAAAAACCTGTTGCCGTAAAGTTGATTCCAACTCATAGCGACGCTATAGGACAGAGTAGAACTGCCCCATAGGGTTTCCAAGGAGCGGCTGATGGATTCGAACTGTCGACCTTTTGGTTAGCAGCCATAGCTCTTAACCACTGCACCCTCAAGTGCAGATTAATCCACCTTTAGATGCTGAGCCATACTGTGTCTCAGTTCTGAACATAAATGCATTCAGATTTTGGAGGAAAGATCAACGTGGACTAAACGGTCAGAGACGACTTCAAGGAATAGGCGAAGCTTGACCTGGCCCCCAAAGGATGGATAAGATTAGAAAGGCAAGAGGAGAGGAGGGAAGCCTCCCAGAGAGGAGTAACTACAGCTGCAAGGGCACAGGGGCCGAATGATTACAGACTATTCTAGCGACTTTGAGAAGACTGGCCTTATTCGCGGGTACAGTAGCCATGGAAATTAAAAGAAATATGAGTCAAGATACAGATTTTTAAAAGCAGATTATGGAAGACCTTGAAAGCCAGGTATAGGGTTTAGACCACATGAAATAGTTAAGAAGGCGACACTGAAGCCTTACGAGCAGAGATGTGGCAAGACAAAAACAGTGTTTTGGAGAGATTAATCTGAGACTGGTACATAGAAGAGCTCGAAGAAATAAGAGTAAAGAAAACTACTACGAATGGAGTTGTGTCCCGGAAAAACATGTGTTGTAAACCCTAACCCTTATACCTGTGGTTGTAATCCCATTTGGGAATAGGATTTTGTTTGTTATGTTAATGGACCATATCAATGGAAGGTATGTTTTAAAGCAAAATCACTTTTGAGATTTGAAAGAACAGACTAGGCACAGAAGAAAGCAAGCACAAACGAAGGGGAAGAGCCATGCCTTGTGGCAATTGTCAGGGAATGTCAAGAAGCTAGAGAAGCTGAGATAAAGACTTCCCCCGGAGTAGACAGAGAGAGCCTTCTCCTAGAACCAGCACCCTGAATCTGGACTTCTAACCTCCTTCACTGTGAGAAAATCTCTATTTGTTAAAGTCACCACTTGTGGCATTTCAGTTACGGCAGCACCAAGAAACTAAGGCAGCAACCAAATAATGGGGTTCTCAAAAACTGCCCAGGGAAACAGTAGGCAGAATCATTTTTAGCATAGCCTGTGTCGCCCAGCTGATTTTCATTACCTTGCCTTCAATAGCGTTTCAAAGTAACTTACTCCTACTTGCCTTGCTCTATGTCTGAAGAATTTGCCACCAAAACATTCAATGTGACAAGAGATGCAGCTTTAGAAATATAGCCACAATCAAATATTACCTAGGAAACCAAATATAACTAAATGCAAAATGTTACCCCACACTGGGAAATAGCTGTGAAATTTGGTTATAACTGTGTTTATTGTTCATTAAACTGTATAAAATAGGAAAATATGCTAAATGAATCCAAATGCAAATTAAATAAGTTAGATGTTGAAAATACATGTGGTCTGTTGTGAGAACTGGAATATAAAGTCTCTTCCAACACTGAGAGTTTGTTTGGCTGAACTCATATGTTTTAATAAACTCCTTTCATTTTGCTTCTGTTATCAGGATTTTTCATGAGTCAAGGACAAAAGGCATGTGTGAATGGTATGTGTGTTGAAATTCAGGTCCTTCTCCAAAGACCCCTCGGTGCCAGGGCACTGATGTGACCCTAACTAGATGTCACATTTGAATGCCAGCATGGGGTAGTCATAAGGGAATTTTAAATTGAGAGAGGAGAAAGATTATTCGTAGGATAAATAAATCCAAGTTGATGCATCCCTGCCTAAATCCTTATTCACAGATCATATTATACCCCCCAAAATGAGGACTCAGTTGGGCTAAAGGAGCTTTCTGCCAAATATCCTAAAGGCAGACAGATCATCTGATCTGTGGCCCAAGCAGACACATCACCTTCACAATTACAGAAATATGACTTCTTGCTCATTGACTGAGACGCTACCAAGAATTCAGGCATGACTCTGTAAGACACAGAAACAAAAGTATTTGGATAGCAAAATTATTTTTAAACAACAGGGGTAGGGGGAGGACTAAAGCAAATTTATATTTGTTCATACAATGTACATACGTAGGGAGCCCTGGTGACGCAAAGGTTAAGCACTTGGTTGCTAACCAAAAGGTCAGCAGTTTGAACTCACCAGCAACTCCTTAGGAGAAAAGACCCAGCAACTGCCTAGGTTACAGCTAAGAAAACCCTGTGGAGCATTTAACTGTGTCATATAGGGTCGATATGAGTCAGAATCTACTTGATGGTAAACAATAATCTGTACATACATACATAAAAGATCTCTTTAAAGTGTTAAAAAGCAAAGATGTCACTTCAAGGACAAAGGTGTGCCTGACCTAAGCCATGATGTTTTCAGTCACCTCATATACATGTGAAAGCTGCACCATGAATAAGAAAGACCAAAGAAGAATTGATACCTTTGAATTATGATGTTGGTGAAGAATACTGAATGTACCATGGACTGCCAGAAGAATGAACAAATCTGTCTTGGAAGGAGTACAGCCAGAATACTCCTTAGAAGCGAGGATAGTGAGTGAGACTTGGTCTCACACACTTTGGACAGGTTATCAGGAGGGACCAGTCCCTGGAGAAGGACATCATGCTTGGTAGAATAGAGGGTCAGCAAAAAAGAGGAAGACCCTCAACAAGATGGATTGACACAGTGGCTGCAACAATGGGCTCAAGTGTAACAACAGTGAGGATAGCGTAGGACCGGGCAGTGTTTGTTTCTGTTGTATATAGGGTTTCTGTGAGTGAGAACCGACTCGACAGCACCTAACAACAACAACAACTCATTTTTACTTGCATAACTTGCAGTTAGTTTTACTCATATAACCATACCTGGGTAAAACTGCAATTCTAGATCAATGAGGGCTGATTCCAAAGAGCATCCAGTGGCTTTACTAAGAAACCATGCCTAGAGTCAGATGCTATTGTTTCTTACCAATGCTCCCAAGAGTTGTTTCAGAGTTACAGGCATTGGCTGAATTCTCCTGCACAGTTAGAAAAATTCTGCAAGTCAGGGTATAAGAAAATAAAGGTACCTCTATATTTTACATTTTTCAGAATACAGACCCTTATGAGAACTCTCA